ACGTAATACAGTATTGTCAACTACAGTCACCATGCTATGCATTAATTATCCATCTTATAGCTGAGAGTTTGTACCCTTTGACCAACATCTCCCCATTTACTTCATCCCCCAGATCCTGGCAATCACAATTATACTCTCTATTTCTATGAGTTTGAGCTGCTTTACATAAAATGCAACTCAAATATCTCTAACAAACTATGCACATATAAATGTTTCATGAGCAAAGAATGATTTCCTGTTCTTCCAAATACACATAGGGAATTCAATGGTAGAATTTCTTATTGTAGCTATTATGGCAATCACTATTATTACTTATTATTCCCCAGGAACCTATGATAATGCACGGGTACTAAAGAAGAAGGAAAAGGTAAAATCAACTTCTACATCTTCACTATTCTTTGGGGAATACTAAGACTTGATGTTTGATTATAAGTGAAAATTCAGAAATTATCTCCTCTTTTGGGCAAATACTATTGTAGGGGAGGAAGACATTTCCTCTACCTTTTCTGGGTTTGTCTGGCTAGAGAATGAATTTAATTCACATGAGACAGAATAGCAGGAGAAAATTAAACAAAGCTTTATGAGGACCATGGCCCGGGGCCTTTCTTCCCGAAGGAAAAAAGGGCACTGAAGAAGTGGGGTGCACAGAGGGGTTATATACCCCAAACAGGATGTTTCACATGTGATTGAAATGTCCCTCCCACAATAGTCACAAGATTGCCCTGTCAGCACAGCACTTGATGGACACAGCAGGTAGTGGGTCTGCTATCTCGGAGGGCGTAGCAGGAGGCAAGTCTATTGTCTTGAGCTGGGTGGTCACAGGTGAGCGCAGCAATCAGTTTCTAGCCTAAGGAAAGATGCTTAATCCTTAAAGAAATGCCAAGGTTGGGAGGGGGAGAGAAGTTGCACCTTTATCTCAAGGGCCTTTGTTCTTGCCATAGGGAACATCTAAAGAAGATATACAATGCATGCTCAAAGGCCTCAGTCAGGCTGAATTAGGTTTACACCAAATGGCTTCCTCATGTACTCCAACACATCCCATTGCTTGCCATTTCTATTTGTCAATGTATAGATGGGAGAGGTTCAGGCAAGCTGAGCAACTCGCCAAAATGCCCAAAACCACCACCCCAAACATCATATCCAGCTAAGAGTCAAAAGAGGATGTTGGAGGTGGGGGGAGTCAGTTACAGGAGGTTATCAGACAAGCACAATAAACAAATGCAGATTTAAGTCCTTGCCTTCCCCATTGATTAAAAGTTTCTAGAGGTAAGGTCATCTCCCCTTCTTCCTGGTAGAGAGGGAGATATCTTTACAGATGGAGAGTTCCTTTACAATGTAAATGTCTCTTACAAAGGGTAAGTAAATTCTACTTTTCAGTTGCTTTCTTGTCTGCAAAGTAACTAGCCTCAAATAATCATCATGCCAAAGAGACATATCTTGGGGTGGCCAATTCCAGGCCCCCACACTATCAAATCATCAAGAGAGAAAGCCCCAAATCCCAAATGGTCCTGATGCAAGGAAATAGACCCATATAGTCCTTTCATCTGGCTTTCATTTTGACCATAAACATGTGCTTTGAAGCTGGAGAAAAAAATATCTCGTAGGTTCACTCTTTGCAATCCATGAGAGGTTACAAACTGGATCGCCCTATTTCCTGGAAGTATTTCACATTCCTTTTGCTCCATGGAGTAATATTTTATCTCCCCATCCCTGACCTTCTTCTTAGCATTCATCCAAGGACTGAGTGTAAACTGTATAACATATGAGCCTCTTGTACTCCAATTTTTTGCAAAAACAATTTAATAGGAAGTGTTTTCTTCTTATCTTTGAGAAAACTGAAAATATTTCATTAGAATGACATGCCGGCTAAAAATAAAGCCTAAAAATATGAATTTCCTTCTTGTTTCCTTGAGTTTTGGAAGATATTTTTTACTTAGTTCATATATCCCTCTAAAAGGATATATATAAAGAGATATATACAAAGAGGTTTAGGATTTCAAGTGAGGATGTCTATTAATTGACAAATTACTGAAGAAGGATTTATTTTGATGATTTTTGTTGCTTTTTGAGTAGATGCAATATGGCAAATCTCTCTTTCAAGAGATATCTTCCTTCCCAAGCCCATATATTGCTTTTCAGTTCCAGTAGATTCATGAGCCCTAGTTTAACGTGGATTAACTCTTTTTGAAGTAAGAAAAAGATTCAGCATATAAGAGATTTTGTTTCTATTTTTGTTGTACATAAAGGGTTTACTCTAAATTCTGGTGTTGCACAATTACTATCCCCAGGTAATATTCCAAAACAAGGAGGGTAAGTATCAATCAATAATGATTTGGAACAAATACTTTGTTGATGACCTTTCCTTAAGTAAAATAAATTAACTGAGATGGCTGAGACTAGGGTCCTGAGTAACTAGGACACAGGAATGTCTAACAGGCAAAGAGACAATCCACTGTAACATAAAAATATGTTTCAAACAAGGTATTAGGGGACACGATCCTTCAAAAGTCCTGTGTGAATGAGTGAATTTTTTCTTTAAAATCATTAACTATTTTAGATAATGCATAGGGCCAAGAGTTTAGATGGCCTAATTTATTACATCCATATTTATAAATTTTCAGGGGCAATGAGAATCTATAAATAGTATTTCTTCCAATTTAGATGTCATCTCAGTCATCAAATAAAAGAGTGAGCCATCCATGTGGTCTGACCTAGGACCTGATATTATCTCCCTATCCAAAAATATGTCAAGGTCCACCCCTGACTCAGAGTCTTGGATTCCCACCTTGAAAATGCTTCCTTAATGATGAGGATTTTAGGCTGGTTAATTTTAAAACTTCAGATGAGAAGCAGGCTCCAAGGAGTGGACTTTGCTTGCCCTTTGATCAGAGACAGTTTCATTTGTGAAGGAAATCTCCATGCCTCCCTCTCTGCCCCAGGAGGAAAGGGGGATGGCCTTATCTCTGGAAACTGTTAATGGGGAAGGCAAGGACTTAACTTGTTTACTGTCTGGCAACCTCATGTAACTGACCCTCCCCCCCAAATCCTCTTTTGTCTTTAGCTGAGGATAATATTTAAGCGGTGACTTCTGCCATTTACTCAATCCGGTTTGATTCTTATCTAAAAGTTGTGGGACCGCCCAATGGCCGGACCCTACCAGCACTGGTACCATTTTAACTTTCTTTTGTCTTGTAAAGAGATAATTCACACACCTATGCCTTAAATTTAGCCTTACTCTCCACCCAACTTGGCAGCAGAAGCAGCAGCAGCGGCTCCTCCTGCCCCTGGGCCCTGTCCCCACGCAGCAGCCTGACTGCCCATGGGTCCTGTCCCCATGCTATTCTATACTATTCTCTAAATAAAAGAGCACTACTGCCAGATCTTAAGAGTCTAAGGAATTTTTCTTTTGACTCCTCAGCTCACCGACCCAGCATCACTTAATTTACTAAATATTCCTTAAAAATGCAAATTATCTCCAGGAGTGAAAAACAAATCAAAATTCAGCAAAAATGTATTAAAATTTTACTGTTAACCTCTTGATTATAAGCTCCATGAGCACAGGATCTTTCATATCTACAGCTGTTTCTCCAACACGTACAAGGCCACTTGACACAATGAAGAAGTTTAATAAATATTATCAAATCAATTACTCTGTTTAATATAATAGATCAGAGTAAGGTCCTGAGGAAACAGAAGAATTGAGTTTTGATCGAATAACAACTACTTGGGATGGAAGTAGCCAGAGAGGGAGAGAAGTGAAAAGTTTCTTGTTTCAGATTTGTTCAAATAGGAAAGGCCTGGATGGAGCTTAGTGAGATGAAAAAATATACCAAAGGTCTGTCTAAAATGGGGAAAAAGGAGCATGTGGATAAGGGCTGTGAATAAAGGAGTATGTAAATCCTCACAAAAATATAAAACCTAGCTATCTTCCCATTTTTCTTGCAGCCAACTTGACCATAGGCACGAAGTACGGGTATATCGAACCTGGCCACAGTCATTCAGACCAGCTTCTCTCCCTTAGGTCAGTTGCCATAATGGGCATATCTAGCTCGTATGCACATGGAAGTGCAGCAAAATATTTAGCCAGAGATTTAAAGGCCAAGGAATAGGACTCTTTCTCTCAGTGTGTAGTGCATCTAGTAGCCTAAAAAGGAAAGGCAGCATTTTTTCATACTAATTATTGGTATGGATACATGAAGTAGCATAAAAGACCATATATCCTGGAATCATAGAGGTAATTTTTGTTATCATTTTAAAACACCATGAGTAAGCTGGAGGAACTGAAAGTTAAAATGAACATGAATTTATGTCCTGTCATGGCACTACATTGAGACAGTCTTTTAAAATATCATGATTTAGTTTTTTATTATTGTATCAATTATAAATAATGCAGAATCAGGTATTCATAGTACTGCTGAAATAAGTTCACATGAACAGAAATGTAGTATCAATTTAGTGCAGGTAAACAGGTGAAAGAGTAGACTACATGGGTTTTTATCAGGATCACAAAAGCTTGCATTCTTAGTATCTAGTGTAGTGTTCTTAGAAAGGTAAAAATTTGTCTCTATTTTATATTTTCCCTCTTTTCTATCCTTGTGAGTTTATAAAATACTATATGCTCAGGGGCTGAATTATGAAAGTCACAATGTCTATTTACTACTTTATGAAATAAAAGTTTTTAAACTTTGGTGTTTTCAGGAAGAATCAGCATATTCCATTGAAATGCAATAACCAATGTCATCTCCACGTCTTCCAGACTAACGAATGTGTCTGGCAGAGAAACCACCAGCTCCATTGGCCACTTTATCTACATGGGCTTTCCCTCAAGCCCCAAAATGCAGCTCCTCTACTTCAGGCTCTTCTCAGGAGCCTATATCCTGATCCTGATGCAGAACACAGCCATTGTCTGTGCTGCGAGGTGGGACCTTCACACCCCCATGTACATCCTCTGGTGAATTTCTTTTTCCTGAAAATATGTTATGTTCACAACCACCCCTAACATGTTGGCCCACTTCCTGTCCACCAGTAAGTCCTTGTCCTTTGCGTGTTGTTTTGCACGGTTCTACTTCTTCTTCTCTTTTGGATGTGATGAAGGCTTCTTCCTTTGCATCATGGCCTTTGACAGGCAATTTGCCATCTGCCATCCTCTGCATTACCCATGCATCATGACTAAACAGCTGTACACTGGCCTTGTCATCTTTGGATGGTCATGTGGGTTCATCCTCTTCCTAACCCCACTTGTTCTCATTTCACAGTTGCCCTATTGTGGTCCAAATATCATCAAACATTTTGTGTGTGATCCTGTGCCATTGATGATGCTGTCCTGTTCTGAAGACACCATCACTCAGCTCACTTACTCTACTTTCAAAGCTATTTTCATGATTGGCACCTTTCTCTTCATCCTCTGCTCCTATGCTCTGGTGATTCTGGCTGTGCTATGGATGCCCTCAGAGGCTGGCAAACACAAAACTTTCTCCACTTGTGCTTCTCATCTGGCATTTGTCACTTTGTTTTATGGCTCCGTTTTGGTAATATATGTTAGTCCTATATCAGGACACCCAGAGAAAATGCAGAAATTCATCACCTTATTTTATTCTGTGAGAACACCTCTATGCAGTCCTCTAATATGTAGCCTCAGGAACAAGGAGATGAAGCCTGCTCTGAGGAGAATGTTCAGGAGTGAACAATGTGTTCATAAAATATAAATGAGAGCCAAAGTCCATCTCTCAAATGCAAGTTACCTTAATAAGACATGAGTTATATATTTGTCTACAAATTCATTGTTATATTAAGAAACTACTATAACGAGGACCCACTATTGTCTTAAACACCACTCAGCACAAGATGCAGTAGTCTTATTTAAGAACAATATGTTTTAACAAGTGAATTAAACTTTATTGTGAAGTTATTATCAAGTGAGTGAAATTTTATGTACCTAAGCCCATTAATCCCTCTAAATGTAACTGAATTTCTAACAAGAAGACAGAAGTCTACTTTGTATACTGAGTTGAAGCAATTAGTACACATACGACAGATTATAGATTGCTTTGAGGATTAACACTGTAAGCCAGTAATTTTCTACTGGGACATACTGACTCATAAAGAAGATTCAGGTTTGAAGGAAGTCTCCTTGCCAGAGTGTAGCATCTGTCTTTACTTTAAGAAAACAGACGAATGGCCTTAGCTGGATGTTAGTGATTTTTCAGAGTTCACAAGACAAGGATTAGGAATTTTAAGAGTATTAGTTCCCTGCAATATAGGAAAGATAAGGGCATAACATAAAGACCAAGGCATTACTCAGGTCATAACTCACTGTAGGGTAAATCCAGTTTACACAACAGCTTCTGATACCATAAGTAGTTTAGTGTTAGTACTGTGCGACTTATTTTAATACTGCCATAAGTATCCTTAAAACTATTTCTATGAAATATTTACTTAACATTGTTGTTTTAATTATGACTTTTATTTTGTTCTCTTGCCATTTTTTTCAAACATGAGTTTTGGAAAAGAAGTGGTTGTCTTTATTCTGCTTCACATAAGAAACAAATTAAATAGTTGAACAATTGCCTGAAAAATGTTTTATATTGGAAGAAAATATAAACAATTTAGAACTTCATCCAAACTAATTCCAAAGGTAGGTTCAAACTGCTGATAATGTTAACACTGATTTTCATCTGTGGAGTTTGAGGGATGTACATGCCAGTTCCATTCATCTTTCTTAACTATATAAGAAAAAGGGGTAAGAACTAGTGATTCTTAATACAATATTGTACTGATTGTTATGAAGGTATACAGTGCCTATATTTGTACTGTCTTTAATTACTAGCCAAATTTTTCTCACTCGTCTTAAATTCTACCTCATGCTAAGTTTGCTGCCACTTGATAGACTTGCAAATTATTTGGTACGTTATGAAGCATTTCTTTAAGACACAGATCTACCTTTATTTGTACCAACATCTATTCCTTAATTCATACCTATGACTTCATTGTGGGAAGTGAGGTTTCATAAACCAGCTGACAAGGGAGGAAAAGAATCTCAGGCTTGGTTCACAGATGGATTATCTGAATATAAACTAGTGCAAGGATAAAATGTCATACTGCTTCATTACATCCTCTCTCAGGGGTGACCACAGAGTGTAGAGGAAACACTTACAAAGCAAAGAGCTGGAGGAAATCCACTTAGTTATCTAGTTTTGTATGGTGGGAGAAATGGCCTGCAATACAAGATAAGGATATCCACAGACTAATGACTGTTGCAAAAAGTTTCACTGATTGGCCAAGGGCCCAAGAGGAACCACATAGAAAAATCAGAGCCAAAGAAGTTTGAAGAGGCAGAATATGGATGGACCTATGAGAATGAGCAAAAAGTACGCAGATTTTTGTGTCTCAAATCAATGCCCCTCAGAGAGGATCCTCCACAGTGGAGGCATTCAACAGCCAGGTAGAAGGAATGAGACATCCAGGACATGTCAGGCTGCTCTGACTTCCTTCACACTGTATTATATACATTATGGGCTGAATAATTCTTTATCATGGGCAGCTGTCCTGTGCAGTGTAGACTATGTAGCAGCATTCCTGGTATCCACCCGCTAGATATCAGTAACAGCCCCTACTGCTACTGGTATGACAAGTGTGACAACCAACAATGTCTCCAGACAGTGTCAAATATCCCATGGTGGGTGGGAGGAACCACCCCATTTGAGAACCACTGGGGTAAGTAAATATATCAGTTTGAGGCTGCAGTGCAAGTTTGAGACTCTGTCCTCTAGAAAGTTTTATGCATATATAATCAATGGCCAATAAAAGGGGTTTCACCCCCAGCCACTAAAATTACAACAGTCTGTGAACTAAGAAAAGAAAGTTTGACTCATAATTTCCAGTGAGTTGCTTGCAGAATTTCTTCTTGCTGCCTCTGCAAATTTAAGTTCTACCATGTAAATTATGGTTACCAGGATTCAAGGAGGGGAAGCTTCTATGAGGGGACAAAGTAAGAGTTCCAATTAAACCTGAAGTTCTGACTGCTTCTATTTGGATCTCTCTTATTGGTGTACCAACAGACAAAGAAGGGATTCATTATAGTGGTCAGTGGAATCAATTAGAATTGTCCATAGTTGCTACTACATAATAGATGAGGGGAGTATGTTTGGAATTGAAAGCATTCACTGGAGCTTCTTTTGGTGCTTTCATGCCCAGTGATATCTTTGAACAAGAAAACACAACATATACAGCCTGACAAGGGCAAAACAACCAAGGGCTCAGAATCCTTAGAGATAAAGATCTCAGTGATTGCAGCAGGCAAGCAACTTAGAGCATCTGAATTCTTCATCAACGATGAAGGACATCTACAATGGGTGGTAAAGGAGGGAGAAGATGAATATCCGTGATGGTTATTCATTAGCCATTCTGCATGAAGTCATTTTTGTAGATTTCAGGCTACCAGTACCTTGAAGACACAGAAATAGAATGGACATAATACAGGAAACAAATGGATCTGAATAGCTTGAGTTGGGGACTATAGCAAAAGCTTTTGGTGTTTTGAATTACATCTATTCAGCCCAACTTTATTTTCAGTTACAGCTGCCTGGTCAATTGAAAGCTTGGACTCATAGTGATAGTGTTAACCTCAAGAGTTCCACATGTATTTTCACTTTCTGACCTGGAGCCTTCTCCAAAGCCTGTGGGGTCCAGTCAGCTAAAGAGGAAATGCAACTATAAGGACAGTAGTACTCCAGAAATGATCATCAACCTAGTGGGCAGAGTGGCCAGTGGATAAATGCCCAGCTTCTTAGACATGCTGTCAGAATCAAGTCCCTGATGCCCCAGTTGCCTACATCAGAGACCTTAAATAATCTCGCATTAGCTCTTCCTGTTTCCAAGTCTCACTCTCACTGCTCTCTGCTCCTCCTTCCTAGGTAACCCCAAATAAACCACACCCCTGAGTCTTTATCTGAAGTTCTGATTTGGGAACCTAAACTAAGACAAATATTAACTGTGATTTTTCTCAATTATGCCTCTCACGATCAGAACACATGAATGTTCCTACTGCCACACTTACACTACTTCCATCTTAGCAAATTATGTATTTGTCTTCCTTTTCATAGGCAGTCTCTCCACTATTCCCTTGAGACCATTCTCTCATATATCTTTGGACATTCTAATAGTTACTTTATCTTTCTCCAGAATCATGAACCTTAAACCTTTACCTTTCCAAAGTCTCCTTATCCAAACAGAAGAGACAGGGAAGGACCCAAGGACTGAGAGAGGGACTGAGAAGGGAAATTATCTCCCTGGAATTGACTCACCTTTAGGTGTCCACATTTTTCCTCCATAGCTAGATGACATGAAAAATAAGTCTACAATCAACTTCCACTTCATTTCTCATGCACCCCCAACCCCATGTGATATGATTTCCCACTTCCTCTGCTCTGCTGAAACTGTTTTCTTTCATGTTTCTGCAGAGAAATAACATTAATAATCATACAGATGTTTTCTTTTAGGTATAAAAAATCTAGTAACTCAGATTTCCAGATCTTCCATCACCTTCATTAGCCAACCTTATCTTACACCAGAGTAGATATGAATTTTACGTTCTTGTGATTCCCCATTAATTGAGTTTGAAAACTTCTGTTACAGCCTGGAAACAAGGTTTCTTAGGATCAGTTGGAGCCATTTATGAGCAAGAGTAAAGGTGTAAAAGTTGAAAAATACATGTTACTCTACAATTCCAACTCAAAATCTAGTTAATTTTTGATTTTTCATCTTGTCCTGGAATTAACAGATGTCTAAACTAATATTTCTCAAACTTTAATATGCATTTCAATCACCTGTGACCCTTTTTAAAAATGCAGATTCTGCATTAGTAGGTATACAGTAGGACACGAGATTCTGCATTTCTGAGAAGTTCCCAGGTGACACTGCTGCTGCTGGTCCATAGATTACACTTCAAGTAGCAAGGGTCTAGTCATGACCTATTTAAAATGTTACAGGACCTCGAGGGTATTATTTTAAGCGAAATAGGCCAGAAAGAGAAATATGTGGAAGATAAACACATGGATAAGGAGAACAGATTAGAGGTTACCAGAGGGGAAGGGGATGAGGGGGTGGGTGAAAGGGGTAAAAGGGCACATATGTATGATGACAGATAAAAACTAAAAATGTACCCCTAAAATTACACAATGTTGTAAAGCAATATGACTTCAATAAAATAATTTTAAAAAAATGTCAGAGGAGGGCCGGCCCCATGGCCGAGTGGTTAAGTTCGCATGCTCTGCTGCAGAGGCCCAGTGTTTTGTTGGTTCGAATCCTGGGCGTAGACATGGCACCGCTCATCGAGTCACGCTGAGCTGGCATCCCACATGCCACAACTAGAAGGACCCACAACGAAGAATATACAACTATGTACCTGGGGGCTTTGGGGAGAAAAAGGAAAAAAATAAAATCTTAAAAACAAAACATGTCAGAGGGGACAAGTTCCTGAATATGAAAGCCTTAGTAATATTTCAAATCAACCCACATCAATAGGAAAAAGTCAGAATTGAGAGAAATTATTGTAAATGAATGTTTCTCTCACACAGTCGGGGTAAGAGGTAGACAATGGCTGATTTATGTTCATTTCTACTGAGATTCTGCCAGCTAAATAGTATCTCTATGAAGTTATCTCCTAAAGAGCATTGATTATTATTTTTTAATTAATACTGAATGTGTG